CCCCCTCCTCCTCTTCCCTCCCCTTCCCTCTTCTCCCCTCCCCCCTTCTCACTCACTCCAGCACTGGGATTCCATCCAACCCAGGAGTGCTATATTCCTTAACTATATTCCTTTTCATTTCTTATTTTTGGAACAAAGTCTTGCTAAGTTGCCCAAGCTGGTTGAAATGTTTATCTTTCTACATCAGTCTCTGAAATACTTAGGATTATAGGAATGCATCACTGTGTCTTGCTCATAGAAGTATTCACGAGGCCGAGCTTTCCTTCCATTTTCCCTAAACTGCCCATGAAGTTTAGTTAATCCCCTGTTGGGCTTTGGAGGTTAAAGGGAGGGGGCTTCATTCCTGGAATGGAGTAGTAGGAACTGTTTACTTTCCCAAAGACAGAAGGGTAGTAGGTGTCTGTCACCTCACCAGTCACTTAAGGGTTGGTAGGGGACATCACAATCTTGGGGGTGGGGGGAGTATGTGGCTGAGGCTGTGGCTTAGTACAATGGCATATTGAAGAGGGGCCTTGAGCAAAAACACATGGGCAGACGCCTTCTCTAAGGTGTCAGACACCTTCCTGACACAGTTTAGGAAGATCATCCTGGGTTACCTTGGCCTGGAGGGTTTCCTGGGCCTTTTCAGTGAAAAAGCTACTAAAGTTCTGAGCAAACTGGAAGAGCTGGTCATCTAACAATATACACAAGACAGCATCTTGGGACCCCGAGAGTCACTGAGGGACACTTGGTGGCCCAGGGATAGGTTCCTACAGTATGGGCGCTAGGGGCTCAGGGTCCAATATGAACTGTAGGGAGTTAGTTTTGATGATGCCTGAGGTTTATGATTCCATAAGCTCTACCTTTTGGAAATCAATTGTATCTATCTTAGAATACATCAGAACAACAGGAAAAGGGTCTGAATAAATAGGTCAATAAATAAATGAAAGAATAAATGGAAATGTCCAAATCCTACAGCATCACACACAGACCTCCCAGGAACCAACAGATGCTTTTTTCCAAGTTCATCTCCTACCTGCCATGCCTGTCCTTCCTTGCACTGCAAAGGACCTAGCTAGATCCTGTCCTGAATGCATCAGCCTATTTCACAGGTCTCTGCCTGAGATGCCTTCCCTTCCTTCATGTGCCTGGGGAACCCCAACTGCCCCCTTTTTCTTCCCTGGCCCTCCACAGGCAGCACTGAGGAATGCCTCTCCCTCCACCTGTGCACTGGCACGCCCCCCCTCAACCACTGAATCATAGTGTCAGACTTGGATGCAGGGCAGCCTCTCCCACTGGCCAATTTGCTCCCCAAGGCTAGGAAATATTTGCCATATGGCAGAACTCCAGGTGCAATACATATACTGGATGCTTAATTAATGTGGGTTAAAAGGAATCAGTGTTTTCATACATATTTATTTATATTTATATTTATTAGAATGTTTTTATTCTAGGCATCAGAATATTGACTACAATTCTCAGTTGTTTACAATCTGTGCTGATTTACTTGTTAAAATAATTGAATGGTTGATTTAACTTGAAACTATATAAAGACACAAAAAAGGATTCATTAGAAAATATTACCACTGAGAATAACTAAAATTTATGAAGGTAACCAAAGGATTCACTAGAGATATTATTGAGAATAACAAAATCTATGAATGGAGATGAACCATGTTATGTTTACACAACAGCTAAATGGAGCATGCATAGACACAGACTAATATTATAGAGCATGTTCAGATATTAATATTTGTTTGCTTCTCACTTTGGATTACAGAAAAATCTTTAAATTATATGGGTGCATTAGATAAAATTAAAGTAAGTTAGACTTTGTTAAGAAAATAAACATTTACCTATAAAAGCCTCAGGGAAAAAAACCCAAAAATAATGCCACATCTCAAAGATTTGACACAATGAAGGTTTGATCTTCCTTCCTTTCTTTTCTTCCTTTCTTCCTTCCTTCCTTCCTTCCTTCCTTCCTTCCTTCCTTCCTTCCTTCCTTCCTTCCTTCCTTCCTTTCTCTCTGTCTTTCTCTCTCTCTCTCTTTCTTTCTTTCTTTCTTTCTTTCTTTCTTTCTTTCTTTCTTTCTTTCTGTATCTGGAATTGAGCTCATGACCTCATATTACCAGGCAGGCGCTATGCCACTGAGCTGTATCCCCAGCCCAAAGGTTTGATTTTCATACTTGTACATCTTGCAGTGTCTGGGCCACTTTACAAATCCTGCCTTCATGAATACCATGGTGGGAAAAGTGCGCTGGGTGATCACAGTCAGAACAGCCTGTTCATTGCCCTTCTCTTTTCCAGAACTCTGTTATGTGGCCCAAACCACCTGCTACGGAAGGTGAAAGAGCCCATGCTGATTAGGAAAGAATCACAGTTCTTCCTTGAAAGAGAGTCTGAGATGGAGCTTAGAATGAAGTTGTCCAGAAAGAAGCCCTTTTTAAGGTCCTCATCTGGGTAAGGGAAAGAAAGAAACCAGGGATGAGCAGGGGGAGAGTTTAAACCTCAGGTAGTCTCCTCGGGAGCCCTAGTGGCTCTCACTACTCTGTGGGGAATTCTGAAGACAAGATGACTTCAGGGCTGGGCTGGCCAGTTCCTGGCTGTCCTGAGAGCTCAGCCAGGGCAATCCAGGGAAGACTGACCCCTGAGGGCTGTGCTGGCATCTGGGGAATAGCTCTTGCTCTCATTCCCGCTGGGGGACCCGGGTCCCTCATCACAGCACCCCACAGTGGTCTCACCGTCCTTTCCAAGCAGAGATTTCTCCTCAGATCACATCTCAACGTGGCCATGTTTGAATGACTTGACACTGGTTCTTAGCTGTAGCCGTGAATTATACCAGTTGTCTCTGCTAGCAATTCCACTAATCTTGGACTCAAAGCTCATTCTTCATCTAATTTCTATATGTGTCCCACTGACTACTACAAACATTCATGCACTGCTAAGCTGCAAAATGACATTCTGCAAAATTCCTGCTACCCACTTAACCAAAGGATGATCTCTCCTCTTCACCTGACGGGGGTGTTTGCCAAGCTCACTATGAAACAGAGATATCTGTCTCTCTTCGAGCTACCTCTGGCTGCAGTGGGCCAGTACTCTTCAAAGGCACAGTGCCTCTTTCAAATGGACTGCCTATTCAGCATTATGGAACATCTATCTTTCCTGTAGCAGAAACCATACTTGATTTTTCTGTTTATCCATTCCATGCCAACTATATACTATATACTGGTCACACTGGAAATAGTGGAACTCTGTTAAGGGACACCCGTACACACTCAGCATTCATTTACTGGGCTTCCAGTAGAAAAGGATGCTGAACTGCATTCTCATTTTCAAGATGACACTACTAACACCCCACTTTCATTGTAAACACAGTAAAAACAACTAACATTTACTACAATGCATATAACTCATATGTTTATTTACTTAATGTTCACAACCACCCTCTGAAGAAGCACTGTAATATTTGCTGATTTACATATAAGCAAGATAAGGCACAGATAGTTTAAGACATTCTCCAAGGTCACATAAGCTGTAAACAGTGGAACAGTTATTTAAAGCCAGGTGGTCTAGGTGAAGAGTTCAGCCTCTTAATCACTGTCACACAAGTTGTCAATGCCCAGGATTTCCTAAAACTCAGCAATTTAAGGGTCCCTGGGCTCAGTTCCCAAGTCAGTAAGGTATATTTCTATGGAACCTCTCACAAGCATTGCTTAATGTGTTAAAATCCCAAACCTGCATGGAAAACAAATAAAACACTATCCAAGAATGCCCTTCACAAGCCAGTAAAAGAAATTAAAAGTGAATAAATTTAGGGAAAGAGATTCCTTCTAAAAAATTGGAAATATATTAAAATATCCACTTATGGATTTTAGTATTTTCAGTATGGGACAACTGATGGCGGACTTTTGTGAATATATGCTGAAGGAGAAGATTTGTGGTACACTCTTTGGCAGAAATATCACCTGTCATGTTGACTCCAGTGTGAGGATACAAACAGCTGTAATGAGACCATTGACCAAGCTTAGCAAGCCTTGCCCAGTGAGGAAATGTACTTGTAGCACACAGAGTCTGGAGGTGATTTGAGCTTGATAGCTCAGCCTCTGAACCACATTTTACATGTTGGGAAAATGAACACCAGCTCCACTCCATGTGGTCCTAGCAGTTAGACCTTTATTAATACCACAGAGCAGCTGGAACTAGAAATAGTCTAAGTGCTCACATTCTTTCAATACACACATTTCCAGAGTGGGTAGCAGCTGTTGAGTCCAAGTTCATTCATCTTGGGCCAAACTCATACTCTTGACCCGTATATTGGGCCTAGACTTTGTGACTCTGAGAAAATATGGTTACAAGGCTCTGTTCTAGGGAATCAAACCTTCATTAGAGTAAGCATGTTTTCCCTCTTCCCTCTTTGTCTCCTCATTGTCAGTGGTTCAAGATTTAGATAGGGACTTCCTTTCCCTGTATTTGTGGTTTTGTTTCTCCCCAAGTGGAGATGTCCTTACTTCATAACTCTCTTTCACCTGTCCCAAGCCCAGAGTTTTCTGTGTCCCTGTGCTGGCCAGATTTCACAGAAAGATAAGAATTTTGATTCAGGTCTAATCTCACTGTCTTCCCAGTGAAGACCACACTGGGGCTTCTG